GTCGGTTGGCAGAAAAGAGGGAATAGTTTCTTCCTGTGTGATTTTTAAGTATACCGGAATAAAATCAGAAAATCACTGGATGGAATCTAAAGGTGGTTGAGGATGGGAGGGAAATGAAATTTCCCAAAGAAAGCAGAGAAGCCCCTTAAATGGAGGGTGAGGGTCCCCTGATCGTCACCAAACTCGCAGCATGCAGCTTAGTAATAGTAGTCCCCTTGTATTTTTCCATACCCCTTACTCCCACAGTCTCTCACAAGTTAAATCCTTTGGGTTTGGTCCCTAAAGACGGAGAGAAGAGGTGCTGATTTAGAGAGTTAGACCTGGCCCTGACCATTTATCGGGCACTTTAACCACAGAGGTTGCTTTAGGACTGAGCCCCCGCAGCCCCGGGGTCTGCTTGACATCTTGAAGCTTAAATAACCGTAAGGCATTGTTACTGGTTGGCAGCAAAGTGGTTCGTTACGCCTGATTGGGCTAATTGCTTTGAAATAGGATATATTATCTATAATTATAGAGATCTAGGAGGAGACGGCCAGCCTCCGCTTTCATCTTTTCCAAGTGCATCATAATGTCGCGATCAAATTAATTTGGGCTATTTGAAATAGTGCCTCCCTTCTTCCCCTCCCCCCCCCCCCCCCCCGCCACTCTACCCCTAGCCCAGTCTGTTCTACTCCTCTCCCGAAATCCTCTATCCTCACCGCTCCCCCAACTTTAAAGAGACGAGGCGCGTAGGCCACAGAGGGGAAGGGAATGGGGCGGGAGGGGTGGGAGTGGGGATGGGGGTGACGTGAGAAGGAAAGGAGGTAAGGGAGGGTGGAGGTCAATTTCTGCGACGGCGCCTTTTAAAATCCTGGAGACCCAAGTGACTTGGAAGATTTCACTGTGGAGTATCCTGCTTCGGCCCCACTAGATGATAGGAACTAGAGAGCGCTGAGTTCCGAACTTTGAAACTTCAGGTCTGTCCAAGGTACCAGGGGAGGGGAAGGGATTTGTCCCTTTAATGCAATACAGTTCTGGGGCAAATTTTCATAGTGCGGAGCTGAGGAAGCAGGAAAACTTCTGCTCTCAACTCCCAATTTGGCTGAAAGCTCGCGCACTGTGCTCTCAAAGGACTTGCAAAGCTCCAATAATTTATTTTCCAGCTCCTAAATTGCATACCTCCTCCACCCAGCATTTTAGAGGCGCGCAGGCTGCCTCTAAAGCCGAAGGCAAAGCTGTGGTCTATGCAATCTTTCCTCAGGTCCCGACCCGAATTCCAAAGTAGCTCCTCTGAAGGGCGAGGATCATAGCACTCCTGCTGCCTCCCCAATTCCTCATCCCCTAGACTCCTTTGCTGCATTTGCACCAAAATAAAATGCTATGGGTAATCGGTTTTCACAGCACATTCATTATATTAAACGGTTGCTGTTTGAGACGCTAATTGCGCAATATCGTTATCTAGCGCCAGTGCCCCACTGAGCAGCTCGTTTCAAATAAACAGAGAGTCACTTCAACAACTGTAACAAAGCAAATTAAAAACAAAACAGGGTGGGAAAGGGGAGAGAAAAACTAAAACGGAGGGAGCAAGGAGCCGCGTCTATCTCTCCTACTTCCAGGAAGGAATTTCCTTGCTATGGATTAAAGTTACCGAATCTAGAGAAAAGATGGAAAGAGTTTTGGGAGGGTACATCTGAAAAACAGTCCCTTTGCGAAGTCCAGACAGACATATAAGTATGCTTTCAAAGAGACAAGGAGGAAAGGAAAGGGAAGAAGGGAGGAGGGAGGAGAGGGGGGGAGAGAGAGAGAGAGAGAGAGAGAGAGAGAGAGAGAAGAGAGAGACAGAGAGAGAGACAGAGACAGACAGAGACAGACAGAGACACAGACAGACACGGATAGACACAAACACAAAGGGACAAAGACAGACAGACGAATGTAGATAGAGAGGCAGACAGGCAGAGTTAGATGTTCATGAAAGAAAATCTGACAATGCTTAGGTATTCAAAGAGTGCGAAAGCAGCTGGGTTAACCAAACGAAGTCTTCTTTAAAATTCCCCCACGACAGCGGGGCTTGAGGAAGTTAAAGGGATATGCAATAGGGGAAAGGAAAGGAGAAACCCCAAATTTGTACATTATCTGTCTCTGGGTAGACAAGACTTTGCCAGGATATGAATTACAATCAAGTCCGATGATGCCATGATTAAAATACCACCAAGTATGAAAGAAATGTAAACACTGAAGTTCATTACTGCGAGATAAATATGGCATAATCATCTCATCCTGTCATCCACTCTGGGCTCCCCAGTCAAAGCTCAGTTCCAAGAAGTAGAGCTAGGCTAACTTCGCCAGAACCATTTCAACACCCTGTTAAAACTAAAACTATATACATACATACATACATACATGTATACATACATACATGAATCTAGATACATCTTTTCCCTTCCTCTCCTCCCCACTCCACCTCCTCCCCATTCATATTTCCACCAGAAACAATGAGATCGAAACCCTGAGGGATTGTTGCAATCAGCGACTCCAAACGCACATTATTCTTCTCTCCAGTAACTCTTTTCTGAGAGCCGGCAGCAGGCGGGCAGCGCCTTTCAGAGAGGGTGCAGCCCAAGATCAATAGGCGGAAGGGGTTCTATTATTACAATGATTATGATGGGTACTTAGAATTTATTCCTATCTCTAGATTTCTCTCTCACACTGATACCCAAGCCTTCATTCCTACTTGAAACAAAAGCAGAAAGCCAGGGAAAATCCTGCTTGTTCTCCAGCCTCGACCGAAAAATAAAAAATTAAATAAAATAAAACCAGAATTTGGGGAAAATATTCTGAGGAGGGGTAGAGTAAACTGAAGCTGTCAGGCTGAATGGACAGGGGTCTCAAGGCTAAGGCGGTTTGCTCCCTGGAGGCGGGTTAAAATCTTCCACAGTCCCACTCCAGTTGAAGCCTTTGATCAGGCCGCTGCTGGCGCCTAAAAACAACATCACTTGTCTGCCTATTAGAGGCACTGACTAATCGGGACAGATTGTTTATTCTCGCAATTAGCAATGCTGCTGCTTCTAGGAAAGAGCAGAGGCTGCTCTTTGCTCCTCAGACGAGCCCAGCCCCGCAGCCTCGGGGCAGAGAGTCGGCCAACCTGAAGCAAAAGGGCTTTTCACCTAGCCCATAAAACTAGAGGGCTACTAGGAGAACTGATGGCCTCTTGGTGAGGTTGGATTCCCCTACATCCTGCGAGACCGCTTAGACTCCCAAATCTCCCAGACCATTGGGTCCCTATCCCCCAAACCACGTTTAAATTTAAATGAGAAGGTGAAAGCTTCTACCTTCCCTCCCGTTTGCTCTCCGTAAGCAAGCAAAGAAGACCCAACCTTTCTTCCTCTATGTTTCAGGTCTGTAACAAATCTGAAGACATGATGTAAACTTCCAGTTAGGGTAACAGGCGAATTTTACACACGGAGGCGCCAGGGCCTTTTAAAAATATCCCACAGGATTTGTACCCCCTCCTTAAAAAAAAAAAACAAAAAAAAACCCAAAACAGAAATGGTGGCTATTCACACCCCCTGCACAGTGCATAAGATTATACCTTTCTCCTAGACCTGATTCCTTTTGTGTTTCTAAAGTTTCTGCTCTCATCCATCCGTTTTCTTAATCTCTATGAGCATAATCTACAGCCTTTATTGGGCCCAGTTAAAAGGAGAGGGAATTCTCTGTCCCACAGCCTTAGAGATAATTACCCTAAATGGCTGCTACAGCCTCTTGTGTTTCTAGGAGATTAGAGCCCTGTAGCCATCAATAAACTTTTCTCAGCGAGCGGCCAATCACGTTATTAGAGAACCGTTCCGTTTTAGTGCCGGTCCATCCTGGTCACAGGGATAAGAGATCATAAAAATGGGGGGGGGGGGAAGCCACAGAATAAAAGATCCAAGTCTCTAGTGCTTTCCGAGAAAAGCCTGGAAGAGTCCTAATTCTGATGGTGATGGTTATATATACATACACACGCGCACACACACACACATATACACATTCATGTTATATCTGTATATATTCATATTACACATACATACATATATATGTATATATATAAAATACATAAGCTGATATTTCCTTCCAAATGGAGAAATAAAACCATTTCACACCAAACACAAGGGATAACCAATGTTATGTGGGGATATGTAATTCGCTATTTTCCTATCCTGCACTTTTCTCCACCCCACTTGAGGTGCTTTAAAAAAATCTAAATATATATGTATATGCAGAAAACTGATAGGATCAAGTTGTTTTCAAAAGACTTGCAGTTTGAGGTCACCCTGAGGACAGCCCTGAATTTTGTTGACATAGATGTTGGTTGTATTTCTATAAGTCTTAAATCAGAAATGAGGCACGCCCAACACCCCCCCATTCCCTCAATACTTTGTAATGTAACCTAATTCCAAAAGAGGAAGAAAAAAATGAATATGAATCACTCCTGTTTAGAAAAAAGTGAGTCTCTATCCAGTAATCTTTGGACTTTAGTGACTGTTGGTCTCACTTTGCTTTTACAAACCCGAGCAAAGGCATAGACCGCTGCGTCAGAAGAGAGAATAAATCTCACCATCTGGATAAAAAGGTAAACCAAATCTAAGAAAGAGAGGAAACCTGAATAGGTTGGAAGAAAAGAGGTAGAAAAGGGCAGGCACTGGAGAAGAGGGAAGGGAAAGGAAGGGAAGGGAAGGGAAGGGAAGAAACAGCAGAAATGTAGTTGGGAGCTAACTTTCCCATTCACAACACCCTCCCACCTCTTCTTTTACTGTTGTTCCTGTACCCCCACCCCTATTCCTATCCCACCCCCACTCCTACAGCTCTAGTCCATCCCGAACAAGAAGACTGGAGAAGGTTGTTGGTAGGTAAGTCCTGGAGCTCGGGGCCCAATGGAGAACTCCTGTTCCTCCCCTCTCTACCCTGATTGGCCGGGAGCGCGCTTGGCTTTGCCTTATTAACAAGTCCTACTTGGGAGCCGCGACTGGACAGTACCCAAACCCCTGAGAGCGAGAGACGGAGAGCTGTGAGTTGCTCGCCACTGAAGCCTGGCATTTTGGGAAGAGAGAAGAAGAAAGGGTGGGGGACTAGAGAGCCAGTACGTTTCTAAGTAAAAACCCACCCACGCAAACTTCCCCAACCCCATGGTCGGTGGCGGCTGCTGCTGCGTCCTGAGGCTGGAAGGGACATCGGCTCTGTATGGCCCCGGCTGTTGATATGACTTCTTTACAAATCGGTGTCAAAATCGAGGAGTCTCCTGTGTCTGCCTTCAGCAAGCCCGGCGGTGGGGGAGGCGGCGGCAGCAGTTCGGGAGGCGGTGGGGGAGGCCAGACTCCCAGCGCTTCGGCGGCCGCTATGGGGGGAGAGGAGGAAGGCGAAAAGCCGAAAGTGCCCCCTTCTCTCCTGCCTTTCAGCGTGGAGGCGCTCATGGCTGACCACAGGAAGCCGGGGCTCAAAGACGCCCTCCCCGGGCCCGACGGCCCCCAGGCCGCAGGAACTTCGTCTCAGTCCCTGGCCACCAGGGTCGGATCCTTAAGCGCCGGGGCTGCCCCAGAAACGCCCGCTTCCCCACTGTCTCTCAACAGCCATTTTTCGGTGGGAGGACTCATAAAACTGCCGGAAGATGCACTTGTCAAATCCGAAAGCCCGGAGAAGCAGGAGAGGACCCCGTGGATGCAGAATTCCAGATTTTCCCCACCTCCCCCTAGTAAGTAGGAAACTTGGGGTGGCGGTCCTTGAATTATTTTTTGTTTTGTAAGGGTAGGGAAGGAGGGGAGATCAGGTCAGGAAAAAAGACATGCCGTGTGCGTGTACATTCATGTCTGCGTGCATTTGCTTGCAGGAATGTACGGGTATGCGTATTACAATCAGTTTCAAGGCTTGAAGACCTGGGAGTCCGGCCCCTTCATTTTACAAATGGGGAAACTAAGTCCTAGAGAGAAGTAACTTGCCCCACGTCCACAGTTAGTAAGTGGAGAAAGTCCAGGTCTCCGGATTTCCAATTACAGTCCACCACACAACATCATCTCCACATTCATAACGGACCTTTGCGTTTTCTTAAAATGCGAGAGGGGGAAGCGTCAGAGTCCGAGGTATGGGGGGAGGCCAGACTCTTCTGTGAATGTGGCCTCCGCCCAGGAACTCTATGGTTGTTGATGGATCCCACTCGTGGGCAAATCATTTCCTAACACCCTACTCTCCCTACCCCTGCCTCTTTCCCCTCCCAGACCCAAAACAACCGGAATGGGGGGCAGGGGCGGGAAGGGTGAATCTCTGTTATCACATACTTTGTCCAGAATTGCTTGGGTCACTTTCCACATTGATTGCTGCCTCGGTCTGTTGCTCTAACCACTCCACGCCCCTAGTCCCCACCCCCACCAGTTAAAAGAACCCCTTCCTCTGGATCTAGTTGGGCTGAAGCGTTTGCAAGTTTTCCAACTGAAGGTCAGCAAGCTATTTAGGGAGTGAAGACACTCACTTTAGTTCAAAGGGTACTTTAGAGATGGTCCACACTCCCTTTTAATTTCCTGATGCCAAAATGCTTTTTGGTTTGGGAAGCACCCAAATTTGACTTGAACTGTCTTCCAGCACTCCGCTAATCTGCTTTCAATTAAGTGGAGATCAAGAGATTGGGAGATGGGGGCCGGGGTGGGGGTGGGTTGGGGGTCATTCATGTACACACGTCCTGAACTTATAAAGATGGTTAAGTGTTCAGAAGGATTTAAATAGCACGGGAAATTCCCAAGTTTTCCTCATTTCCTTCGATTATTATTATTTTTTTGTATGTGTGTGTGAAATAATAGAAGGAATTCAATGCCATGATCTTTAAGAACGATTTTATCTGGGGATTAAAATTCTTTGAAATGAAAGCCCCTCCCTTCATTTAATGACTAAAGAAGGCCGACAAAAATGTTATGACTTCACTGCAGGGTAATTATGTTTCATCTGCTAGACTCCGCTGGCCTCTGCTTTTAGCTAAAACTCAGGGAAATTTTTCTTTGAATTAAAATGCTTAAATATCCTCTTCGCCCGTTTTTGCCCCTAGGGCATCTTCTTCCCTTTGAGTTGGGAGAAGAGAGGGTGGTATTAAATGATAGTTTGATGCTGCTCAATATCCCTACCCACACAGACAATCCAAAGGACATTTTAGAACCTATAACACCTAAAATTGGAATTTCATTTTCTGGAATTCATAAAGTTGCCCTATTTTTTTCAGAATTGCAACCTTTCCTAGAGAAGCCTGCAGGCCACTCGGCTAGGGTGAAGGGCCCCAACCAGAATAGCAAGAGTTTTTAACTTAGAACTCTTAATTACTTGATTAATTTCTTTTTCTTGGGCCAGAAAAACGGGCTGTGTGTGTGCTCTGTACTAAAGTTGTTCAATTTATGTTCGGGGTTAGCTCTGCTTAGAATCTAGGATTTTCTCAGCAGCACAATTTCCTGAACTTTCTCCTTATGAGTTTTCTGATCCGGTCCTGCAGACTCCTTGACTCTACTTAAATTTATTTGGTTTTACACGGTAGGGACAGGACACAGTTTCACTCCCTTAGGGTCTTCTCCCGTCTTACTTATACAGGACAAAGAAGGTCCGGTTAGGTCTCTTTTCGGGGCAGAGGGGATAAGTGGTAAGGCAAGGGCTGACACTTGGAGTGCCAGGCCTGGAGGACACCAGAGACATTGAGGAGGGGAACGCTTCCGTGGGAATCGGTGGGAATTTCCTCTACCCTTTGAGTTACTAATCAGTGCTCTCTCTGTCTCTTTCTGTCTCTGTCTCTCTCTCTCTGTCTCTCTGTCTCTGTCTCTGTCTCTCTCTGTCTCTGTCTCTCTCTCTCTCTCTCTCTCTCTCTCTCTCTCTCTCTCTCTCTCTCTCTGTCTGTCTCTCTCTGTCTCTCTTACCTTCTCCCTCTCTCCCACCCCTTCCCCTCTTTCAGGGCGGCTCAGTCCTCCGGCCTGCACTCTTCGCAAGCACAAGACCAACAGAAAACCTCGGACTCCCTTCACCACGGCGCAGCTGCTGGCTCTGGAGAGGAAATTCCGCCAGAAGCAGTATCTGTCCATCGCAGAGCGGGCCGAGTTCTCTAGCTCCCTGAGCCTCACCGAGACCCAGGTGAAGATCTGGTTTCAGAACCGACGTGCCAAGGCGAAGAGACTGCAAGAGGCGGAGCTGGAGAAGCTGAAGATGGCAGCCAAGCCCATGCTGCCCCCCGCTGCTTTCGGCATCTCCTTCCCCTTGGGAGGCCCGGCAGCTGTGGCCGCGGGCGCTTCACTCTATGGCGCTTCCAGCCCCTTCCAGCGGGCCGGGCTGCCGGTGGCGCCAGTGGGACTATACACGGCGCACGTGGGATACAGCATGTATCATCTGACATAAGAGAGGGGAGGAGGAAGAGGGGCCTGACCCCACCGGACCTCGAGCGGCCCTCAGCCAGGCAGCAGCGAGAGCCCTTGGAGCACCCACTGAAGGTGCCTGTTTCCAGGTTTCCCCCTCTCTCCCCCAACTCGATTATCCTCTCTCCCGCCCTCCCCCCCCTTCTCCTTTACCACAAGTGGCAGGAACAATCCATCCCCATTATCTCTTTGATCCTTTTGAAACTCCCACGACCTTGACATTCTCTTTCCCACTCTTCCCTTCTCTAGAATGCTAAAGCTCTGGGAGGGAACTTAGAAAGTTTCTAGCTCTACCCCTTCATTTTACAGATGAGATGGGGAGGAAAAAAACTTAAATTTCATCCATAGAAGAGGGGTTAAGAGACCGGGTGTCTGTGAGAGAGATGTTTCCCAAGTTAGAGACTTTGGTAGAGGAGTTAAGAAAAGTCTGGAATCCTGGGCAAAAATTGCTTTGGGGAAAAATAATGCATAATAGATAAATGATAAAGGCCAGATGAAAGGGATCTCTTTCCTACCAACATATGAATGATTTCCACTTTCTATTAAGCAACACCACTTGTTTCTTTCCCAAATAGTCCCTTTGGAAGGGACTCTATGTACTATGTAATATAATGTATATTTGAAATTTTATTATCATTTATATTATAGCTATATTTGTTAAATAAATTAATTTTAAGCTACAGTGATTTGCTCTTTTTTCATTGTTTTCTCTGTAGTGTTTTGTTTCTAACAGTATTTTAATCTCTAATTCCCCACACTATGTTGATGTCATGCTAGTGGTGACATACACTTCTGCAGAAGAAAAGCGGTGTGTTTATTTTTAAAAACACATTGGGACAGGTTCCCCATTTGTAAAGTGGAATATTAAACCAATTTCCTGGGATAATTCATTTTGGCCTTATAGAGTAATCTAGCTTAAGTTTTCATTGGTAATTTTCAGCTGATTTATTTACTCTTAGGACTAGAAGTCACATTTTATTTTTCTTAACTTGCCTACAGAAAGCTAAAATGGACAATACATTGTGTTATTGTGGTTTTTTTTAATTGGTAAAACAAGTCAAGAATAGTGAAGCAACTTGCCCAAGTTCTCATGGATAGCAGAGCCAGGAATTCTCTGACACCAAATCCTTGGGATATAAAGGACCTATTCAGATATTTTAAAACCTCTTATTCTTACTTAATGGTAGACTGTTCAGAACTTTTTTTTTTGAAGGGAAAGGGAAATAAGAATTCTGATAGTTACCTTGCCTTTCCAGCTCATCTGTGTAGATGCAACTTTGTAGAATTAGACTGAATTGAGAGTTTTATTCCTTCCTCCCATCCCACCCCCCCACAATATCCAGAGTTTAGGACAATGATACTGATTCTGCCTGTGAATTAATTACATTTCCAGTAAAATCCTGGCTTCAGGATATTTGTCATTTAAAAGTAGGCCTACTGAGGGACTGAGGGAGCCTAAGTTTTTAGCCTTTAATTCTTAAGGAAATATCCTTTGTAAATTGTACTTTGTGAAGGTTACTTGAATACCTGTCTGACCTGGGCCTACCATTTTATCTTCCATGGGAAGTGGTGAAGAGTAGATTAAGTTTAGGAGCCAAAGGATGTTAGAAATTCAGGCTCTTCCTTTTTCAGATCAGGAGATTGATGCCTGGAGATAGATACCCCACCACCACCACAGTAGGGGTGGGAAAGAGGAGAACCAGTTTTATCATCAGATCTTCCCAGGGCTCCATAACATGGGGAGAGTCTTGAGCTGTTTTGTGACTGTTAGGTACCTACAAATCCAACTCAAATCTAGAGAGTGGATGGGAGAGGGCAGCCAGGCTTTGTATAGATACTGACATGAAGAGTGAAGCATCTTTCAAATCTAAGAGATCTTGGAAAATCTTTTCCCTTCTCTGGAGATATAGTTCTCTAGTCCCTTTGGCCCCTTGGCTGGCAGCCAGGTGTGAGGTTTAAGGAGAGAGAAGGGAATAAGGTAAACTAGTCCTACATAGAATCCCATGGACAGGGTTGAGGAAAGAAAAAGGAGAAGGGCCCTTTGAATGAAGGCAGGAACCCTTGATAAGGAGTGATTTGGACTCTCAGGAGTTGGGTGAAATATAGGCAGTGGCTCAGATAGGGAGATAGGGTGTGGAAGAGGGGGAATTCAATTGTGGTATTGCTTCCCACCCGCTCAGGAATTCTGCTCCTGCCTTCTGCCTTCTCCAGGAATGAGTTTCAGCTAAAGCCAGCGGAGTTTTGTGCCGATTTCTGGAGAGCTTAAGACACGACGCTAAGCGCTAGCTTTTCTGGACTTTTAGAGGTACAGAGGTCATCATCCCATCGGTTTTGACTGAAGTCTGAACTTGTTAGAATTCCCTAGCAGAAAATATTAAAAGGCATAACAGGGGATTCAATTTCACGGGGCGGGGGGGGCGGGGGGGAACAGGACATTGACGGAGAGCTCGGGTTTGTTCGTTATCCTCTCATCCGCCGCCCAGTCCTCCTCGACCCATTCTCTCTCGGAAGGCCAAGACTATTCCAGGAGCAGCCGGGTCCTAGAGAAAGAAATATGTATATGTTTTAGATTTCATATGCAAGCACATTCGTATATACTGGACAGTCAGCCCGCAAAGTTCATTTGAAGTGAGGTGGAGGGCGCTAATCGGAGAATCAATTTCCTCTACACTTATGAAGTATTCTTGTTTTCTCTCACTTTCTAAATCTAGCAGGTAAAGTTTAAAAAAAGTGGGTTGTTTCTACGTTTTAGTCACTCCCTCCTCCCTCTCCTCCTCTTCCCTCCCCCAATTCCTTCTGAAAAGACAATTTGCCAAGGCTCTGGAGGAGGATTGGGTGTCTCTCTCTGGTTGTGCCAATGGGCGCTTTTAACTGGCTCGGAACCCTGGCAATTTAGGGTCGGGGAGAGTAATTGCGGTAATGAACAACTGCAAAACCTTCAGCAGACACGCCGAGGCTCCAGCGAGACTGTAGCTGGAGGCGAGACGGAACCCTTATCATCCTCTAAAGATCAGCCTGGCTTTCAATAAGTCAGCCCAGCCTACCTGCAGCCCCCCTTTGCGGCTCCCCATCCTCTTGTCTCTCCTTTCACATACTGAGCGCACAGACACTGCAGATTTTATGCGTCCTGTAGCGTGCCCAACTTTTAATCTCATGCGTTTCCTTTACTTGGGCAGTGTGTCGTTATCTCTCACCCTGTCACTTCTATTTCTATTTTTTTCCCTCCCCAGATCTCATCTCTTCCTCCCCAAGACCAAGTCTTCCTTTTTCTACCTCCCCTCTGTTCCGCCCCTCTTTCTCTGACACGGATTGAGAGTCAGCTAGAGTTCTGTAGTCTCTAGATTGCCGCATGACCTTAGACCAGTCACTTCCCCTCTCTAGGCCTCAGTCTTTTCTGTAATGTAAAAAGGGTGGAGTTAGGGTCACTTAGAGCTCCAGCTGGCTAAAATTCCGTCTATATGCGTCCCGTGACCACAACAAACTCCTCTGGGGAGGGGAGAAGTGGTCTCCCTTTTTACCCCCCTCCCCCCTCCTCCGGATCTGGTTTGGGAGAGGCGAGGCTGCAGACTAATGCTATGGTGGGGAGGGGGAGGGGAGATTAGATTCTTTCACCAAATTTACCTTGGCGAAGCTTTAGAAAGATCAAACGCCAGGAGTCATCCCGGGGTCTTCGGCTAGCAATCTATTTACGGTTTGGGGCTCGGTTTTCAGGGCTGTTAACGCCGGAGACGGCTATTAAGGGCACACAATGCTTGCGCTCTAGCTCGCGAATCTAGGCGGCGGCGCTGCTCAGCGCTCGCAGCTGGAGGGGCAGAACTTCTTACATTCGCGTCAACTGGGAGGACCCCGGGCTGGAGGAATAGTCCCCACTAAATGCGCCTTTGTTTTAAGTTTCTTTTCTCCCCTCCCTGACCCTTGGGCTAAAGTCCCTAGTTGCTCAATTAAACCCAGATGAGAACAATTAATAACTAAGTAATGACAATAAGTTGAGAATCACACGGATGAACGGTCCATGTGAATAGTAAAAGTTCACACAATAGAGAGAAAAAGGATTTGGCGGCTCTTTTAAAGCGGGAGGGTTGGCTTTTCTTTTTCTGGCCTCGGGCTCACCAGCAAATAAAACTCACTTTTGTGTCTTTGTCGCCTGGAGGATCTCAGTGGGTCGTTAGAAGTGAGAATCGGTGTTTGCCTTTCAACTGGAGGGTGCTGGCGCCACCGAGACCCAGTGTGGAGAATCCCCAAGCAAAGGGTCCTAATCAGCTCCACACCCCTCCCCTCCTAACCTCTACTGTCCCTCGGCTCTCCGTTCCAGTGCACACACACAAAACACACATCCTCCCTCTTCCCAGCACAATAAGCGGACCAGAAACACAAATACACACAGCCCTACAGGCAAGCACAAAATCAGGACACACCTACCCCAAGCGCCTGCCCGACCTCCTATCTCCATACACAACCTCCGTGGGCATAACCTTACAAGCTCCAAGCTCTGAGAGATGCTTGGGTGAGTGGGGGGGGGGGAGATAGGTGCAGACAGGCAGGCAGAGACAAATGCTGCAAGACAGAAGAAAGTCAGAGAAGACAGACTGAACAGAGAGAGACCTATAGATGAAGAACAGAGAAACACAGAGAAGAAAGATGGAAACAGTAAGAAATGAGCCCGGGAGTGGGAAAAAAAAAACATACCGAGGCAAAGAGAAACACAGAGAGGGACATCTCGCAGACACTTGAAAATTTATCAAGAGATTTGAAAGTTAGGCCAAAGATATTTCATAACGTCCCATGTAATATAGTGCTTTAGGGTTGACATTTGGGTGAAAGAAACTTCTAACAAAAGACATGTGTTAACCTTTTTTTAAAAAATTTAATTCAATTTAATTTTTTTTTACAAAAGATGATTTCCTCACTCCTCTCTGTCTACTCTTTTTTCCTCCCTCATCTCCCTTTCTCCATATCCCCAGCCTCCCTCCCACTTTCTCCTCAATCTCTTCTCTACTTTTTTCTCCCCGTCTCCCCCTCCCCCCGCGCTCCCTCCGTTTTGTATGCAAATCGCGTAGAGTGTTGTGTAAGAAAGTGTTTTGTAAATGACAACTGTTGCTATTATCATTTAACACTTCTACAAAGTGTTTTCCTCCTACCCAGTAAAAGCTGGCATCGCACCTTCCTTTAACTCAAGTCTAGGTATATTAAAGAAACGTTTATGAAGTAACTGCGGTGGAGAGATGAGAAGGCACCTCCTCCTTATTTTGTCAAATCATTAAGGCTTTCTTCCTCACCTAGATATTGAAAACTTCGGGGAGACTGATCTACTAGCAGGTCACAGTGTCTCCTATACTACAGGCGTGGATGGAGTAAGTTAGCTAACTTTTCCAATCAGCTCTTGCCCTCGGAGAAGTCTCGGGCTAACTGTGAGGGAAAGGAATGTCATATTTGTAAGGCAGATCGCAGATCTCTCGATAATTCTTGCAGGATCTTTTGGGGCTGCGTTCCAGAGACAACCAAAGAAAAAGCGAAAGGAGGATGATGTTATTTTGGGACTCTCGAAAGGATCAGAGAGGAATAAGCAAACGCCTTGGGCAACTGTATCCTCCAGAAAAGGAAGAACTTCCAGCGGGCTTTTTCGAGAAGCCAGTCGAGAATTTGAGGAATTCTTCCAAAGTATCATAACTTTCCGGAGATCAGTTGTAGGGATCCAACAGAGTCTAAAATTTTAGACCCGAAGGCGAGTATGAGGTGGGGCTAGGAAGTTTTTTCTTTGCTTTCCTGAAGCCGAGGTGGGTGCGGTGTTTATGTGTATTCAGGAAAGACCAGGTAAGACTGAAGTCTTAGGTGGCATAACATAAGCTAAAGGATATTTACGACATAGAAAATGACGTCAGAGCTCTTAGGGACCTTAGAACATAGAACTGTAAGGGCTGGAAGAGACTTTAGAAATCATCTCGTCCACTCCTACTTTTCTCTCACAGATGGGAAACCGAAGGCTTTAGGTCCACACTCTTTATCTAGAATGAAGTTGGAACTCACTTTTCTTGGAGCTACTTCAAACTGTCTTCTTACTGTTATTGCCTTTTAAAATATTCCGGACTGAATTTCAGACTTTTCCAAACCCCATGATTTTTTAACAGTTCTAACGGACTGGTTTTTTAAATGCACAGCAAAGTTCATCTGATGAATACTTCAAATTCCTTATTTTATTATCCTTGTCTTTCTCTTCTAATCATAGCATGTAAGCAGAGGTAGATGATCTAGTCCAATTCCTTGATTTTTAACAGATATGGAAACTGAGACCCAGAGAGAGAGGAAGTGATTTGCCTGAGGTCACAGGAGGGATTAGTAGAAGAACCGGCACTTGAATCGGATTCTCTTGCTCCACTTTTCTTTCAGTAATCACTGAGGAAGAGAAATCTTAGCCCCCTTCTCCGCCCCCCCCCCCCCCCCCCGCGCCAATCACTGGCTTGCTTCTTTACTTCGCTGCTCAGTTGCCCGGTGAGAGCGGCGGTGGAGGTTCCCTCCCACCCACCCCTTTATTTGCAAAGCGACAAGAATTCCAGCAGCGAGAAGCTTCAAAACATTTCAGAAAACCCTAGCTGCCCTCTCTCACTACTGAGTCCTTAATGCAAAACAGGGCCAAGATTATCAGGTCGGTGCAATTGGATCTTTCCTGTGCTGAGAAGCAGCTTTTGGGCCTTTGATCTTCTCCAAATTCCCGGGGCAGAGAATTTAGTCGGAAGAACTCTGGCCTGGGAGTTAGCTGGCCTAGGGTTGAGACTATGTCACTAGCTTGAAGTCACTTCCTTTCATTGGGTCTAAGTCTTATCCTCCCTAAAATAAGGTGATTTGGCTAAATGATCCCACCTAACTATAACATTGTGTATTCTAAGGTCCCTTCAGGTTCTGACATTCTGAGTTCTGAGGTTCTGTCTAGTTGGAGCAATCCGTAAATTGAGGGCTGCTTTTAAAATGGTACCTAGAGGCATGCAATCCATTCACCAACCCTTTACGGAGGGTTCACAAATTCCAGAAGAGTTCTCAGATATATGGCTGCAGAGGTGCTCCGAGGCAAATGAGAGCGGGGACCATTGGCGCTGGCCTTTATACCTAGACCTCTTTCAAAGAATCCACCCTGGAATCAACGCCCTTACATTGTCCTGGGGCCCTCAGGGAGGGACTGCCCAGAGTCTCAGTAGACAGAGCTGGGGCATTCTTCCCCCCCCCCCGACCTTAAGGACCAATAAGAATTGAATTTTAAGAATGAGAAATAGGTGTCTAAATGTAAAGATTCTAAGGCCAGATTACTGGGCAATTCTAAAAGCATTTGTGTTGGGTTCTTTTGACTGATAATGTCTACAGGCTACAGGTAGAGGCAGTCTATAGATTTGGAATCAGAAGAACCTGACTCTACTACTTCCTAGCTGTGCGACACTAAGTAGGTCATTTTGCCTGTGGGCCTTGGAGATCAAAGTTCTTTGTAAGCCCTTAAAATGCTACAGAAATGTCTACACTTACATGTTTACACATTATCTCATATCCCCACAACATC